TCAAAACGTTTCCGCAGACTGGGGTAAAGAAACCAGGCTAGTGGGTATTCGACTTCGACCCTTGGGGTAATTAAACCGCCTTCCTTCAGATTTAAACAGCTAAAAATGGATTTCTAGAAGAGAAGCCCCCACGAACTTGTTCCATCTTGAATTGTCCAAGAACAGAAGGTTGCCGGTGCCTGGGTAACACCTGTGTATGCCCGACAAAAAAAGGTAAAAAGTAGATAGAGATTACGATACATAAAATAGATGAAAGTTTAACCTGATTAGAGTTGAAAATAGACTCTACCCTAGCTACAAACAGCCTTTGAGAATTGACAATCGGAAAATAGTGTACTGTTCTTTTAGAGGTGAGAATCGGCTGCCCACCCCCATGCACCGGGTCGCTTCCCAACTGCTCTTGTCCACCAGGACCACCACCATGCCCACCAAACGTCCCATTTTGTGCCGAGAAAAAAGGGATTTAAATTAAAGCTGTAAAAACATTGATCCTTCTTTAATCCTTTAACTTGTTATCTCTTTTCTAAACTTGATTTCGAACAACAATAAAAATATTGCTTAAAAATTATCTAGGCAAAATAAAACACCAGTAAAGTGGCAAGATTTTCGTCAATTCATTAATTTGACGAAGGAAAGCTTATAAGAGAAGTGTTTCATCGATGTGAAGTTCATAATTCCATGAATAACGACTCCATTGAGAATTACTGCCCTGCAACTCTTATTCTTTTGCAATTTAATTCTCATCTTCTCTCCAGGTACCTTAAATTTGAAAAAGCAAGTGTGAACTAATGTTTTTTGTTTTTATTGAGTATGTTCTCTATTGGGTATCGACGTAGCCTGTTTTGTGGATGTTTATAATCCATCAGTGCACATGCCAGAAAGTTTATTTAAAGCTGATTTGTTTGGGAAAACTTTGTGCAAACATTTTTATTTGTGCGAGACTTATGGCGATGGCCCCCAATCAGAGTATTTCTCGAAAACGCTTCCATCTTGACACTCGCCACACATATTCGAATACATTCCATCGTCACGCACTTCCCATTCCGTCAGCCCGTTATCATCGACACCTCCGTTATTTCCCGGCGCTCCGTCGCAGCCGGTGCTGAAATCGATTACCCATTATTATTTCTAAGACTAAACTGTTCTCACCGATGAGCTCTGTTAAACGTCTAGCCTAAGCCTAAACCTAAGCCTTACGACTCACTTTCCGTGTCCCCAAACATTCTGATGAATGTACCAATTGCCCGAATCGCGTGCATCTTGACCGTTATTGTTAGCGTAACACCAGAAACACGTTGTCCCCTGCTCGTTATCCTTGAATCCCCAGCTGAGAGTCTAGACGATATTTAACAGGTTTGTCAATAAAGTGACTGAAAGTGACATCTCCGCTGTCAAGTGTCCACCAGTCGTCATCATCTGATCCATCGCCTGTAATCGCATCATCGGCCGAGGCACATTTCAGATAAATCGAATTCGAGCAATTGTTCGTCACAACCACCCCATAATCGGTTGAGAGTTCATCGACGATTTTCTGGATATCTTTGCCGACATCGAGGATTCCCTTTTGAGCGACAGAGCTGAGAATGCATGCTGAGAAGACGAGGAGGAGAGAACGATACATTTTGGAAATAGTTTGACCTGAAAGGTCAAAAGTTTAACAAGTTAACGAGCGTAATCAAATAAGTTAGAGTTAAACTAGTTAGAGTGTTCAGCTAACGCTTTTCTTCTAAGCACCTCGCCCAGCTCCATCTCAAACCCTCCTGTTAGCTGACAAGGGAATAACACCAGGTTCAGAATCGCTTCGTGACCAAGTGCATCTTATAGAATCGGCTATACTGATTTTGAATCTGTAAAAACTAGCTGCAAACACCCACGCAATCGCAAGAAATCTGGCATAGAAAGTTTTCTTAAATTTTGGACTCTTCATGAGGCCTTTTCCAACTTCTAACGGTTTTCATAAAATTTTTTTTTCTCAAATTCTCAAAATCGATTTCAACGTAGTCTGATGAACTTCAAAATGCAAGAATAAGGTTCTTTATTGATTTTCATATAGTAACAATGCAAAATTGCAAAATTTGCACAAACAAAATACTTTGCTGCAAAAAAAGCACTGCTTTTTGTTGGCAGAGATAATAAAGTCATGAACCATTGGTGCCAGAGTTCGAAAAATGTATATGAACTCCATAATGACTCTATAAATAAATTTCATCCCTTTAAAAGTTGTAAAAGGGTGCATAAAACATAAATATTTAATGCAAAGACATCAAAAAAAGCAAGAAAAGTCAGCCTGGGGAAGATTCGAACCCAAGCCAAAAATCTTCATAAGTTCCGTAGGCTAGCTCAGTATCCGCTAGACCACCAAAGTCGCTGAAACGTGTCTTTGTGGCGGCCCCATTAGAGTCCGAAATGTAAGGGAATTCTCTATGCCAGATTCCCTGCGATTGCGTGAGTGTTTGCAGCTAATTTCTACTGATTCAGAATCAGCATAGCCGATTCTATAAGATGCACTTGGTAATGAAACGATTCTCAACTTCGAGCTCGTGTCACTCCCTTGTGAGTTTCTGGTGGTTTTAAAGTAGTTAGCCTATGTATATATGTAGATTTATCGAGCTGAAAAGATATACAAAATACAAGCAAACAATTGAAAAAATCTGATGGAGTTTCGATGAGTCGAGGAAGTGCTTTTATAATATTTTGAATCAAAGCGGAAAATATTTTTATTTTTCGAAGCTTTATTGTTCAGCTACAATAGATAGTGCTGAATGTTTTTGTATTTTTGAATGATTGAAGAGTCTAGATAACCTTTATTTGCTCACTATTTATAATAGTTGAAAAGAGAGAGATCCCGAATCGCTTTGAATAGAGCCGTCAAAACATGATACCTACATAGTTCATTCCTGAGTGAGCATTGGATCAACATGTGTCTATACTGTAAAATGTAGAAATGTTTCCGATCTACTAGATTATCCAATATCAGCTTTTTTCGGGCCGAATTTGATTCTAACGCATTTCTAATCCGATTTCTCATTTCTCGTTTCTACCTCGAAGGTCTCCGATTTCTCATTCCACGACCTCGAAGGTCACAAGGCTGAGGTGGCTAAATGACGCAGAATCTTACGCTGATTCCGATACTGGTATTCCTTTTTTGCAAAATGATTTGCAAAAAAGTTGACGTCTTTCTGAAACGCCTGCGAGCCCGCTCGCATGCTAATGGTGATCGATTCGAATTTGATAGTTGATTTATCATTTTTGATGTACAATAAATGTTATTCAGTTAAAAATTTGTCTTTTTTTGCTCTTGTCTGCTTTAAAATCAGAAGTTTATCTTGTTTCGACAATTATGGCGCATCCTTTAGTGCCGCTTCTTCTTAAACTTTCAAGATTTTCAGTCAAGTCGAGAAGCAGTCTAATCCGAACACGAGTTATAAAGAAACAGTTTTAAACATCGGCTTTGGATAATCGAAGCAATTTAAGATATTTTTGGATGTTTCAAAATCAAAATGGTATTTTCAAATCCGAACAGCCTCTGAGCTATCTTGTAAAATTTAGTACTGAACTTTTAATCACAATACATCAACATTATCAAGAGTTTCTGGAGACAACGAGAACTTTACCAAACTGCATTCAAATCTCGACTCACGATTGATTAGAAATCAGATTGATTAACAAAGATTGATTAACCTAGATCTCCCTTTGCTCCCCCTCCCTTTGCTTCGATAGATCTGAACCGGAGCAACAAATTTGATGTTCAAACACACTAACCACTGTCCTACGAGTTTACGCTTAGATTTAAAAAGCACTTTTATAAACCTACCAAAAGCGAACTCAATTTTGTATGCCAGTTTCCTTGCGATTCAGAACTCTTAGGTACATGCATAAGAAATGCGGATTTCAACATTTTCATAAATTCCCAACGATAGAAACCCGATATCGATGAATGTTATAAACTATTTGAAAGTTGTAAATCTCCTCTACAAAATAGGCTAAAACGTGTTTCAATTGATCGAAGCATTGAAGAAATTTCGAGGGCGAAATGTGAGTGACCAAAAAAGAAATCGAGTGACTTTAGCGACCAAAAATGGGCACTTTTTGAAAACCCCACTTTCACAAGAGTTCCATTTCGACTATATAGTGGAAAATGAGCGCCCTAAAATATTATTCAAAATAACTAAGAGTTGGGATCATTTCATGGGAAAACTTTGTTTTTACAATAATTTTTCTTTTTTTGTGAAAAAGCCGCTTTTTTGACAATTTTGAGGGTTTTGAACTTACGCTCTAGCCAAATTTCTGTAAATGCATTTCGGTTAGACTTTTTAATGAATAGATATATAGTTATCCTTTTTGTTTTTAAATCTTCAATTTTGGGAAGCTAAGTCTATTTTGACGACACTAAACTTGTCCCTAAAGTGACTCGATTCCTTTTTTGGTCACTCGCATTTTGCCCTCGCAATTTCTTCAATGGTTCGATCAATTGAAACACGTTTTAGTCAATTTTGTAGAGGAGATTTACAACTTTCAAATAGTTTATAACATTCATCGATATCTGATTTCTATCGTTGGGAATTTATGAAAATGTTGAAATCCGCATTTCTTATGCATGTACCTAGTATTATGGGAAAACTAAAAAAGCATAGAAATCAGCGTGAAAAACTCTACAAGATCGTCTAGGTCTCATTTAATATTTCTAACCGAAAAGTGAACCGAGAAAAGCGCATGGAAAATAACAAATGTACTTCAGAGTATCGCCTATTCCAAGAAATCTCGAAAAAACAAAAGTCTGTGTAGTAGACCATTTACCAAATTCAAAAAGAACGAATTTTCCGCTTCACACGCTTTCTCGACTAAACACCATGAGAATATTTTGCTGGAAATTCTCTATAAAAGGCGTCTCACGGTTCAATTATTCGCTGAATCACTCCTTAAACTTCACACAATAATTTCGGAGTTTTCCGATAATTTTCCGATAGTTGTTTTGTCATTTAAGTTCGTTGCTGAGAATAATGACCAAGTATCGCTATTTCAACGATTCCCTTCTCTTACAGGTGCAATTTAAAGCTAACAAATAGCTAATAGTGTCCAAAACGTTGCTTCAAAGCTCCAAAGCTCCAAATTGTTTTGTTGAAAAGTTTCATCAATTTTTCAGATCTATGCTCTTTACAAAGGGGACGACGTTCTCCGTTTGGATGCCGAGTGTGCTGAAGGGAACAATCCACATCCAAAGAATCTCATTCAAGGTAAGTCGGTCTAATCGGGGATCGTCATCAATAATTTTTGCTTGAAAAGACGAGAGTTTAGAAATATTGGTACTTGTCACTTTTACCCCTTCATTCAATTTGCGAAATAAGTTAGGCATTTCTCGGATACTTTTCTATCAAGAAGTTGCCATAATTTTGGATCACCCTGTAAATTTCTTGTTTGTGGGGATAAAATAGAAAAGTATCAAAATTTTTGTTGTTAATTGTTGTTAATGTGTTTCTCTAGGTTCAATCTACCTAAGCGTCGGCTCATTCTTCATCACTTTGTACGCATTTTGTCTGATTGCAATGGCACAAGAAAAGTTTATGAAAATCATTTGCTACAGAATATTGTAGGCTTTAATGGAATCAAAATTTGATTTGATTTTTCTAGATTTGTCGTCGGTTTTGTCGATATTTTCAGTCTGGTTCCAAGCTCGATTTTGCCCGGTTTGAAGCGAAAAGAAAGCATTTTCCTAAAAAACATTTTCAGGCTATTTTCTGGTGATGGGCTACTCGTTTTGCGACAGTCCACTGCTGAATCTCTGGATTGCAACACTGTGCTTCGGTGAGTTTTACCGCAACTTTTCCAAGTGCCCCATTTTTTTCAGCCGATTGGTGCGTCTATTGTGCGTTGAGTGTGGTGTTGGGGGTAAATCGCTGTGTCGATTTTATCGGTCCCCAGTTGCAGCAGGTGAGTCAAGATCCATTTAGTGGGGGTGAATGAGGATTCACCACTGTGTGATGAATCTTCATTCATCCTTCTTTATTCCGATCACAAAATTCAGACACTATTCGGCGGATGGCGACTGGTGCTGTGGATTCTCCCGCCATTCATCTACGGGGCCAGCGTCTACTTCACCTGCCCCCCACTCGTCTATCTCACCCCCACGGCCAGCTATTATTTCGCGGCAAAGCCCGAGCACTCCATTGTGAGCCACGTTTCAGATTAATACAGGGTGCTCAAAAGTTTCCGCACACTTTACGAAAGAAGCTCTATTTTTCAGTTAAAGCCCCGATCGAAATTGGACTTACAGAGCAAGGTATAACCACAACTTTTTATAAAAGTAGCTAGAAAATGCCCAACTTATTTCAAAAGTGTCAAGTGTTATATAGAGAATTGTAGCCCTAATGCTTGGCTACATTTATCTACCAAAAGCTTCCCGATGGAACTTATACAGCTCATTTAACAAGCGCTTGAATGAGCGCTAATCGACATCTCTCCAAATCTGTCATTTGGCCGCCTTTCTACATTAAAAAATTTCATTCGGAAAAGTTTTTCTCAGTCAAATTTGTGGTAATTTTGTCAAAAAAATTGCTTTCAACAAATTGATAGCGCCAGAACATCTGATATAACGAGAACTCTAAACTGAACATCGAAAATAATTAATTACTCCTTTTTCCCTGCTTCTTCAAAGAGCTTGACATTAACTTAAATTTTGGTTATGCCAATTCAGCCAAAACAGTTAAGTGTGACTCTTATTTTTATTAAGTAATGCTAAGCGTTATTTTTGCATTGAAGCAATATAGAAAAGCCTTTCTTAGCAATTTCTAATAGAGAAAAGCGGCCAAATGACAGATTCGCCGGAGAGATGTCGATTAGAGCTCATTCAAGCGCTTGTTAAATGGCTTGTATAAGTGTAATCGGGAAGTTTTTGGTAGAGAAATATTGCTGAGAATTAGGGCTACAATTTCCTATATAACACTGGACACTTTTGAAATAAATTAGACATTTATCAGGTACTTTTCCAGAAAGTTGTCTCTATACAGTTGTCTGTAATTCGCGGTCACCCTATAGTATTTTGAAGCTGAGAATTCTGGGGAGCATTCCTACACCTAAACCATTCTGATCAGAGCCACCTAGCTCTCCAAAGAAGCATTGTAGTGCGCTGGAGGGAAACTGTCACGGCGCTCACCTATTTTTGTTTTAGCGTTTATTTAGAAAATGAATCATTTACAAGTGTGCGGGAACTTTTTGATCACCCTATCGAATTTCGATATGTATAACGAATCGTTCGGAACCGAAATTCAATACAATGAACCTAAAACGTGTTTCGATACAATGAACCTAAAACGTTTTCTGCATAACTCTGGGCGGGCGACGCCGGAATTTGGGGCAAACGTTAGAATTTCAAAAGCATTTTGTCGAAGTTGACTGCATTATTAACCATTTTAACCATTTTTCTTTTAAGCAAAGCTTTGTTTGACTTAAGCTTTGACTTAAGCTTTGACTTTCTTGACTTTCTTTCACTCAGATGCCTTTATTTCAGATGCCAATGATATTCTTGTATAACAACATCGGTGTGGCGATTTGCATCTTGTTTTTGAATAGTCTCATGCTGATTTTGATGTATCGAGCCCATCGAAAGATGAATGCGAACACGAACAAAATACAAACAGTCGTGAGTGATTCTTTGTGCATTCTTTGAGAAGAAAAGTCGATGCAATATTGAATTTTGTTTCAGATTGCTATTCAATGCTTTGGGATTTGCACGACGGTGATGATCACCGGCATTTTCTATTGTACAATTTGCTCGGGTTTCATCGTGCTTCCTCCAATCATGTACCTCGTCACTAATGGCTCGTGGCAATTCTCGAACAGTGAGTTGTCAAGACAATTCTCGAGCTAACGATGGTCAAATGTCAACCCATCAAAATCAAAATCAAAATTTTCAAGATTGGCACCATGATAGAACCATTTTTAAGCGGTTTTCAGATTTAGAAACTAGAAAAAAGTCTCAAAAAAGCCTCAAAAAAGTCAAAACCTTTCAAATTTTCCAGGTTCAATGGCGATTTTCTATATGGTGGTAAACAAATCGATGCGTAGAGAAGTGCTCAAACTTATCTACCGAATCACCCCGTTGGGAAGAATTCAGCGATACAAAGTCACCTCATCGTCAAATCAGACTGCTTAGGCTTTTACGGACTTTTTGAGAATCACTCTAAACTTGAACGAATGGTTGTTTAATGGTTTAATCTTATTTTTGTTGTAGTTCGACGAAATGCGAAAATAAAAATGTGCAGTGAAGCAAAAGATCAAGGGATTCACACAACAAGGCCGTTTTTCACAAAAGTGCCACCAAAAAGCTATTCAGAAAAGCTAGAGCTACATAAAAATTTACAGATATAGCACATAACTTAACTTATTTTCTATCGGGTATTTTTTGAAACGGCTTTTAAAAAGCACAATTAAGCACAGGTGGTGCGTATTTTGGCCGTTCCCGACAAACTCACTAGAGCTCCAATGGACAGACTGACATTTCGAAATTATATATAGATTAGATTGCTTTGCAAAGTAATTGTTTGTGTTTTGGATTGGCCGAGAAATTGGCTAGTCATCTGCTCGATTTCTAAGAACTAACGATCAAGGCTCAGGCTCGGCAAACGAGGCTAGATAATCTTCATAATTTATTCGATAAGCGGAAGAAATAAATACATATAAATTTGGTTGAAATGTTTATGAAGAAAAATGATGGCAGAACTCGAAAATGATAAAAAAAAGGCAAAAACAAATGCAAATGATGAGTTAACTAGTGCAGAAATGGGAACTGAAATTTCTTTGCTTGAGTCGAAATCGATTAGATTTGACGTTGAAAGATCTAGAAATGACTTGGGGGAAAAGGAAGAATGTGATTTCAAAGTGATTCAAAAGTGATTTGCTTTGATTTCAAAGTGATTCAAAAGTGATTAAAAACACAGAGCGTTTAAAAAACGGATAACGTGTCGGATTGCAAAGCTGTAGGTCGAGGGTTCGACTCACTCACGAGCAATTGATGCTTGTCGTGTTGATCATTGGGAGGTGAACAGATTTGACAACATTTCTATGTATTAGGTTGGAGCATACCGTAAATATTCTAATAGAAAAGCTCCCTATAAGCCTCGTCTTCGTCGTCAAGTCTAAGTTTACTCTTAAACAAACGCTTGAATCTTGACACCAGTACGTTTGTTTCGGCGCGCTTTGGTATCAAATTAAAGTAGAGAGAATGGGTGATCTTTTAAGATATAACACATCTTTTAAGCATTAACCAGCACTTAGAAAAAAAATGATTGAGAGCCGTTTTTCGCCTGAGCAAAAAACGAGCCGATTTTCAATCTTTTTTTCTAAGTTACAGAGCTTTCAACCTATAGAGCAAGGCGTATAGTTTAAAATTTTCAATCTTTTCCGATTCAGGGCCTCAGAACTGTTATTTATAGTCAACTTCGCCTACAGTTGACTACAAATAACAGTTCTTTTCTTTGAACTACTACAGTAGTACTCTTGTTTAGAGGCCAAGCTCCCCAAAAGCGTCACCCAGCCCCGATCAAGCCGTACCCACTGCATGCCACGGCCCGATCAGGCCAGTCCTTAGAGCCAATCCTTTTCCCGAAGCCAATCCTTTTCTAATTTGCCGACTTCCCTTACCTACATTATTCTATCGACTAGAGGCTGTTCAATTGGAATAGATTTATCAAACTTTGACTACACTAAGATGGGCTATTAGATTCAAAAACAAAAAGTACTACTAGTTTGTAGTTTTGGAAAGAAGTTACTTATGTTTTGCTTACGTAAATTTCTTTTGCTTACTCTCTACAATATTTGACTATTATCAAGATAAATTTCCTATACAAATTTCTAATAAATTTCCAGCTTATCACTTTTGAATAACTTTTGAATCAATCTATCGACTGAAGCTAATGGTGAAGATAATCGTCAGCTTTTATAGGATAAAAATGCAAAGCTAGGATGCCCGGAAAATCACAGTTTAGTAAAAGAAAAAGCGGAAAAACATTGCACATGACCTGCTTCAAAAAAACCAAGCAAAGCAAACAAACAAACGAGAAATCTAAGAGAAAAGCATGAATGGGAAGTTGACAAAATTTTTTGTTCAACGAATTGAAACTTTTTCTGTGCATCAATGAGGTTTCATTGCTCTAAGAAAATTAAGAAATGGAAAATCTAAATAAGTAAGAGATATAGAGCAAATATATATAGGGGTTTGTATATTTGTAGCAAATTTGATACATCTAAAGAGGTTCAACTATCGACTGACGATCGCTTCGGCGGCCGCATTCAGATTCCAAGCCCTTGCCTCCAAAGCACTGATTGCAATTGCTCGGTCCGACGCAATTCCCGTATCGACAAGGTACTCAACCTGAATGTTTTCAATTTTTATACTCTCTTAAAGATGCAAAGATCTAGTTCTTGTTTCACACTGTAGTCCTAAACGAATAGTATCAAAGTACTCAAGGGTCGAGACTGATGATTGGAATGATGTTTGGATCCTGTGGCCTTTTCCGATGATATATAGACTATTCGACGCAGAATTTTACGCTCCAATGATTCAATGATTCTACGCTCCAATCCAATTCCAATGATGTAAAAATTAGTTGCCGAATGGCGCGTAATCACCGCCAAACTGGCATAAAAGTTTTGAGCCTCTCCTTCTAAGTCATTTTTTCAACACAAGCCGTTCATCGGTGGCCAAATGGTTGAATGCTTGTACAGCAAGCTGAGGGTCAAGAGTTCAAACCAGAGTCGTCTCATTTTTTTTTTGCTTTTTTCCATCCTACGTCCTTTTGTGTTCTTTGTGAGTCCACATAAGCGCTTTTCTCCTGTTCGATCATAGTTTGTCATTCTTGTTAAAAATTTAATAGCTTGTCAGTGTCAATGTCAATCTAACCAATAATGCATTTTGCAAAAGATATTTAACCTCAAACTTTAAAAAACGAGCAGCAGCGCAGAGACCTTTTTTTGTGTTGATCCCCGCCACAGATGAACGGTTTGTGTTGAAAAAAAATTGGTTTAAAAGGAAGGGCTCAAAAATTGTATGCCAGTGGCGGTGATTACGCGCCATTCGGCAGCTAATTTTTACATCATTGGAATCAGCGTAAAATTCTGCGTCGAATGATCTATATATCATCGGAAAAGGCCACGGAACCCAATCATCATTCCCTTGTTAGTCAGAAAACCGAATAGCTTTAGATTGAATTGAGTACTTTAGCAGAATGTAGTGAGCCAAGAGACTAAGATTTTACAGTGTGCTGATGAATAAATAAATGTAGAATTGTTCGTAGAATAAGTTTGTGTCATAAAGTGATCTTTGAGTGCTTTATGAAAGAGAAACTACTTCTGAAATCTTTTCAAAAAAGTCTTTGAGCCAATTTAGTTGTCAATGCAGTTTTCAAAAGGTCAATGAATTCTTGTCAGTCTTGGGATAGCTTCGTTCACGATTGATTACAAACCTTCAATTGTTTCAACGCTTCTTCCACATTTCCCCCACAAATCCCAACCATTCGATCACAGTTGCCTCTCTCGGCAAACGAGGCCTCTTTATAAAGAATTTCCATTTGTTCGGCTTTTGTCACTCCACTAGTTGTTGGTTGACTTTCACGTGGAAGAGTGGATTGGCTAAACTTCGTAGATTGTATTAGCTGAATTTTTGTACCTATTATTGTACCTATTATTGTAAAGTTCAGCCAATGGATCGAAAGAATTCAGTACTTCTTCGGAATGTTGAACAATGGTTGATGATGGCTGAAAAAGAGGAAATGAAGAGTCATTTTAAACAAAAACAAATATTTGCATTGTTTTGGAATGATTCAAGAGCTACTTGACATCAATGGAATGTATGACTATTAGTTTAGAAACAAAAAAAAACGATTTCCAATCAAAAAACTAAAAAATTTTAAATTACAAAACTTTAAAAGTCTTTAAGAGTTAAGCAACTATAAAATTTATCAATTTTTAAAATTTGACTGAAACTCCACTACTTTTCTTTTCAGATTTTCCGGCTCGGTTTTTGCTTTAATACAGAACCATACCTTACCGTAAATACTGTAATAGTACCCCACCCCCATAATGACGGTGCAGAGTGTTGCGTAGTCTAGCTTTGAACGAGTTTTTCTCGACACTGGTTTATGCTACAATGCGCGCTCAGGTATCAAAAAATAGCCCTGAATTTCAGCTATTTTTTGATACCAAAGCGCGCATTTTTTGAAAGTACAGGCGCTTTGAAAAAATGAAATACTAAAAAACCTTTTGCGACTACGCGACTGTACGAGGGGGGTGGGGTACTATTACAGTATTTACGGTATGTTTATTAGATTAACTTGAAATTGTATTAAAGCAAAGCTTTTTAATAACTCTATAGCGCATACATTATGGCCGAGTGGCTAGAAGCCGGCTTAACCGGCTTATCTTAATCGGGTTCAATCCCGCCGGCTAGATTATTAATTCTTTTTTCCCATGTATATGAGTTTTTCCCTACATTTAGGGCTTAGGGGTGCTCGTGTATTGTTTGTACGACATTTTACGTGTGAATAAATGTAAATGTATACCGGTGGTGGTGTAAGCGGCCTTAACGGAGCGGTGAGTGCAAGTGGGCGACTACTGTCGGAGAGCAATGGGTAAACGGATGAAGTGTTTGAAAGTCTTCCCATCGATCCGTACCCATTCAGTCCATTGAAGCCATTCATTCCATAACCTAAAACAATGGTTTTCTAGATGATAGATAACAATGGTAGATATTCGGGCCAGCCCTTACCCCCATAGATCGGCGATGAAGCTCCATAGCCCATTCCATAAATCGGACTATTGTATCCACCGTATCCATTTGAATAAGTTGATCCAAGACTTTGTTGAGCTGAGAAAAGTGGCACAGAGTGGATTGATTGAGGGCGGGAAGACAAGGCAAGGATGGCATCAACTTGTTCTTGAGAAAAGCCACGTGCTCGCGGGGGGGAGACATTCTGAAAGAGTTGAGGAGTGAAGGTGAAAACACTAGCTTGTTTTCATATTATTAAGATTTTTATAGCTCACTTGTGTCTGTGGCTGGGCTATTGTCGAGATCTTTGGATAGAGAGGCGTCGGTACAAGGGGTTCACTAGGCAAGACTGAAGCCGCTGGTCTTGGTGTGGCAGCTTTTTGAGCAGGAGGTGCAACAATTGGTGTGGATGTGCTGGCTCGTCGCTGTTGAGCGGCAGAATTTCTAAATTCTTTTGTTTAACTTTAACAATGACAATGTCAAACATTTGAAGAAATCTGATAAATCTGAATGAAATAAAAGTTTTCTTTCAAGTACTCACAAATTCGCGTGATGCAGGGGTGTTGGCTGGAGAACAGAGCTTGATGGGAGCACCGATGGGATGACTCTGGCCTGAAATTCGTTCATATAACCTTGTTGAGTCAATCGTTGTCTATAAGTTTCCATACTTGAATGGAATCACACCTACACAACATTTTGATACGTTTAGGTTTAAAAGCTTTTCTTTGAGTCACTCAAATGTAATCAAAACAAGAATTTAGATACTTATGGATATGTCGTAGCCGATTATGAATGAGCGGGTCTAGGAGCGTCCAACCATCAAGTATTTGGTATCATTCAACGCAGAATCATTAATAATTATGTTAAATTTTTAAAATTAGAAAGATTTGATAAAAAGAAAAAAAATTAGAGCAAAAAAAATGTTTGTTCAAGAGGAAACTTTGAGGCCCCATAATTTTTTTTCTTTTTATCCAATCTTTCTAATTTTAAAAATTTAACATAATTATTAATGATTCTGCGTTGAATGATACCAAATACTTGATGGTTGGACGCTCCTAGACCCACTCATTCATAATCGGCTACGGGGATCCCGCCGATTTTGAATGAAACGTTGTAGCGCCGGTAATTTTTAACCTAAACTCACAAATTTGGTACCAATCGACGCAGAATTTAATTCGCTACAGGATGATATAATATTGTCCTCATACATTAAAGGGTTGCTCTACTAGAAAGATTTGCCAAAAAATTTCATTCATAATCGGCTACGACAGATATATCCTTGAATCTAACTCAAATAAAACTTTGATTAGCTCACAGTTCAGGCTAAATCTCTCCTTTATCTTTAAAATCCAAAGCAATTTTAGTTTGAATAAGATTTCCTTACGAGCTATGAGCTTTTGTTTTAAAATCAGACAAAATACTGCAAAGACATTTGCAGAGTTCATCCCATAAGTATCAGAAGTTAAAACTTTTACAAGACTTCATTCTCCTCACCTCTCTAACCACATCAACAGTCGGTATGGCGGCTGCAATCGTACTTATAGGCGGTCTGATCTATAATGAAAAGTTTATAAAGTTTTTCTAGAAATTTTTACCTGTTGTGGTTGATCACCTTGTGAACTGGTCGATTTTGTGCTATCACTTCCGTAAAAGAGAGCACTCGGAGCCGGAAAAATTGTAGTGAAATCAATTTCTGTTGTGTGCCTTCTTGAAGAACCACTCGCTTGTGCTTGCCCATTTTGCGCATTTGAATTAACAGCTTGTTTCGGCTCACTTTTCGGTGTCTGGCTTGTAGGTTTCACATTTGCCGTTGCTGATGGTAGCTCGACTTTAGTCGGTTGCAAAACTGGAGTAGATAAAGCTGCGGCTGTGGTTTGCCTAACTCCATTTTGTCCAGAAGGTTTCAAACCCTGTGTTGGTAAAAGAGCCGGAGTTGACTCAACTTTCGGCATTTGCTGCTTCGCGAGTTGTTCTCGTTGTTGCCGAATCTGTTGCTCTCGCTGCTGTTGCAATAATTTCTCTTGCGCCAGCTTTTCTTGTTGCATTCTTTGCTCCCGAAGAAACTGTTCTTGTTTCTGCTGTTGGATCTGTTGCAAAATCATCTCTTGTTGTTTTTGTTGTTGTAGTTGTTGTTGAGCGAGAGTCGGTTGCTGTTTGATGGGTGTTGCAGTCAATACTTGGGACATAGGTCTTTGTTGTTGAGGGATTGCAACAGTTGGAGGGGTGATCATGCTCATTCTAGATGCTTGCCCGAGATGAACGTGATTCAGCGATGGATGTACAGGGCCTTGAGCGTGATGGAAATTCTGTAGTGGATGGGGTGAAGTGGTTGCACGAGCCGATGACGGACTTTGGATGGGTTGGAGGACCTGGAATGAAATCTTTAGGTTAAAATTGAGATAGATTATTGGTCGAGCGTTGGCCCGGTAAGCGAGAGGTCGCGGGTTCGAGTCCCGACCCCAACCTCAACGATGTTTTGTGTTCCCAGCCCCAACCCATAAAAGAAACTATTGAACTATTGTCCAACTATTGAAAACTAGGAAATATTTCTCAAATCTAAAGTTTAAACCTTTTTACCAAACCTCAAAGCTATTTATATCTTGAATTCAATTTTGTTATATTAGGTACTTGCTAAAGAAACTGTGGGTCATAAAAACGATCATACAACGACTGTAAGTAAAAGTGATCCGGGTTGATTAGTATTTTTAGAAACCTCAAGATCTTTTCTTTTTAAAGGTATGAAAAGAATTCTGCAGTGATCGCTTCTGAGCGGAATATAGACATTTCAAAAAGGTACCAAAAAAGACTTGGCGACGGCTTAAACTTATAACAAAGGATTATTTTTGACGAAACCCTGGTCTAAATTATTGACAGAGTAGAAGCCGAAACTTAATAGAAGCTACAGTCATGGACAAAAGTCTTGGCGGCTCGTGGGTGGCAACTTTCAAACGCAAATTTAGGAACCTTTCCGAGGCTATAAAAAAGTTGTCACAAGTATTTTTGAGCATTTTTACTCTACTTTTAGCTATGACCAAGCATTGAAAAGGTTCCTAAATTTGCGTTTGAAAGTTGCCACCCAGGAGCCGCCAAGACTTTTGTCCATGACTGTGTTTACAGAAAACTAAAACAAATTTAGTGGACTATTTCACTATAAAAAATCCTTTGAAGAGTTGTGACTCTTAAAAGAAGGGTCGAAATTCGGTTTTCAAGGTTATTTTCAAAAATTGTTCTAACAAAGAGTACGCAACGAACAAACCTAATTTGTATCTTATTTGCTTTCGTTAGTAAACTTCTTTCATTTCATATTAGTGACAAAACATTTATTGAAAAACCGTGGCGAAATTTTGAGTTGAAAATTCGGCTCCGCCAAGTCATTTTTGGTTTCTTTTTTGAAAATTCTACTTTCAAAAGGAAGCTTCGTAAAACAAAAAAGCTATTTTCAAATCCAGATTGAAAGATTCTGAACTCACCTGGTTTACGTGAAGTTGCGGAGTCGAATTTGGGTGTCGATGTGGCTGGTTGTAAGCGGGAGGGGACTAAATTCACTGAATAGAGCGAAATTTTTCCCTGAGTCACCCAAACACCCGCATCAAAAGCGGTAATTTAGAGAAAAAGAGCGCGGAAATCTCCCCCTTTTTTTTTCTAGTGTTTACTTCAACAGAGAGGAAATCTATTTGTTGACCTACCGGTGCAGGTTGAAGAGAGTTTTTCTCCATGATTTCGTTGTATCGATCTTTTTGGAGAACATTTTTGACGGCAGAGGGGACCTGAAAGAAGCAAAATATGAATTGAATCAGTCGAAATGCTTTAATGAAAAAGTCAATAAGCGTCAGCGGAAATTGTTTGTGCGAGTTTTCTCCTCAGATTTCAGAATTTCAAGTTTTACTCGAATTTCAAGCAAAACTAGCAGGCTTTTTGATATAAAATAGTTTTCTAAAAAGGTATCTATAGGGTTGTCCAGTTATGAATACGCGTTTTTTACTATTTTGTAAATTTCTCAAGGTACCGAAATCAAGAAAAAGATATATATGAGTATTATTCGAAAGCTGAAGATCTCCTCTACATTTTAATGTAAAAAAGTTTTTGAATTTGTTCAGCTTTTGGGCAAATTGACTGCACAGAAGAAGAGGTGGCCAAAAAATGGAAGAGCGCCTTTGGATCAAGTTTTGGCTCCGCTCAAATTGAGTTAACCGTTTGATGTTTGGCCAATAGATATATCAATACAAGTTTTTTTTAAATATAACAATTTCAGAGCATCTTTACTTCTCTTTTCTTTTCTGGGCGGTTATTTTACACCATAAAACTTGAGGAATAGCTAAGCTGGAATGGGTTTTTTCGAAAACGACCTCTTCTTTGTGCAGTCAATTTCCCAAAAAGTTGAATGAATTCAAAAACTTTGTTATTCCAAAATGTAGAGGAGATCTTCAGCTTTCGAATGATATATAACACTCATATACATCTGTTCGATATCTTGAGAAATTTACAAAATAGTAAAAACGCGCATTCATAACTGGACAACCCAATATTTTAGAATTTATCGTAATAAAACTAATGGCACCTTCAGCTTTCATTCAGTAGCTCAATTTGATATCATTCTATCACAAGGCTCAGTCAATGCTACCAAAATTGAGCTAATTAATCTAATTACGTATAACTTTGCAAAGATTCCCGTTTATAAAACGCTTTGATTAAGGAACATAGTTTTTCCCCTAATGCAGATAAGAGTCACTAACCTCAAACGGATCATGTGCATTTGGGGAGATACTAGAAAAAGAAGACGGAGCTCTCATTGTGTTCATTTGGCTGTGTACAAAAACGGGCGTTTCAGCAGAGGTTGTTGGTTGTTGCCGGAGTCGAATTGGCTCATTTCCTAAATACTAATTGAAAGCTCAACCATGAGGGCTTACTTCAAACCTTTGCCGATTTTACTCTGCAATTCGTTCAGGATGTTTTGTCCGTGACCGATGCCGACTGAAGATTTTGGTGCAGGTCCTAAAATGAGTTTATACAAAAAGTTTAAAAAATTGTTGCGAAGTGATAAAGATTAAAAAAATACGTAATTTGTGGCTTTACCTGGTTCTATTACTGCAAGCGGAATCCCAGCTCCACTCGTCTTCGGTGCAATAACGAAGCCGTCCATCCTTTGCGCAGCGTTGCGAACGTTCTAGAAATAAAAAAATAAAACTCAACTATTTTTAAGCAATTTCAGAAGTTTTTCGGGGGTGGGACAAATGCGATCTTTTTTTTGCGCACCTGGACATTTGCGCACCTTTTTTTGCTGGAAAGGCCTTAGGAAAGGTCGTGGGGGTAACAAAAATGTTTCCATAGAAGGGATCGTAGGCGTAGATTCAGAATTTCGACAAATCAGACCTCGCTGACACGTCAAATTTGGGTTAAAAGGCAAAAACTGCGGAAAAGCGTTAAGTTTCGTAGTTTTTGCCTTTTAACCCAAATTTGACGTGTCAGCGAGGTCTGATTTGTCGAAATTCTGAATCTACGCCTACGATTCCCTTCTATGGAAACATTTTTGAAGCTCTCCGACCTTTCCTAAGGCCTTTTCCAGCAAAAAAAAGGTCGCATTTGTCCCACTCCCTGTTTTTCATATTATTTCAGCTTATTTTAAAATATTTATCCAAATCTTTTCAATACTCACCACAAATGCATCCGCTTTGATCATCGGCGGAGTGTTGTTTGCCGATCGACTTGAGCTAAACATAATTATTGAACGATTTTAGGAAAATGTCGCTTTTGCAAGATAAAATTTTATATTATGACAAGAAAATGAATAAATTTTACCTAGGTTCTTGTGGCAAATTGACTTTCGGTCGCGGAACGGCAGCATTTCCATTTGAGTGGACTTTTGGTTGGGTTGTTGGTGGTGCCGGGGCGACCCGGGCTGAAAATATAAAATGATTTTAACTTTCCGAGATAAATTAAGGTTTATAATATCCAAATTTATTTAGTATTCTAATACTCAGTAATCCAAAGCACCAATCGATGCTCACAATAAAATTCTATATCCTATAGCCTACGAATTCCAGAATTTTGAATTTTTCTATAGATTCTATAGATTCTATAGAATTTTGTAAGCAAAACAACGTTATGCACATAATTTTAGTTTGGAGTTTGTTTTTAAAATCGCTATAAAAAATTGGCATACCTGGAATTGGCTGGTTCATCGATGGCACATAGAATTGGCTGCTTCCCACTTGTTGAACGATCGGTTGCATGAGAGTCGGCGTTGGGGCGACTTGACGAGTGGCTGGAAGAGAAATTTTTAAGACAAAATAAACATCTATAAATTTTCTACGGGTCTACAACTTTAAAAAAAATTACTGCAAAACGCACCACGAGAAAGTCTAACATCATCGAATGGATCCCTCATTGTTGGCGAAAGGGGAATGCCCTCGGAAACGGCGTTCGACGAGCTGGCTGGGGGTTTGCCTAGAAAAAAATATTGGTACTAAGGTAGTTAGGTGATTTTCTTGAATTTGGATTAACAGTATCCGGTGTATTGGTTTGATACCAGACCAAAAATGCAAACTGAGGGAGGCTATTAGATTTGAGGTACTATTAAGGTTAGGAGGGCACTTTTTTTTTTCAAAACCACTTTTTCTTGGGTAGTTTGATGCGTAGATTCCGAAAAACATAACGAGAGTTTGGGGAAAGACGTTTTAAGCTGAGTTTCGGGGCTTCAAAGTGCGCGCTCATACGCTCAAGATGTGAGCGATTCACATAAGGAAAAGGGTCTAAAAATGGTCTCTCAAAACATTTTTTAAAGCCAAAAACATTACTTCTGGGATAATTTAACCTATTGCTTACGTTTATGATCAAATTCGAGCAAAATAAAAAATTTTTTTTCGAATTTCGACCATGTGGTCAGCGTCAAAATCGGTCAAAATCGGTCAAAATTTTCAAAAAATATTTTTTCGATTTCTTTTGCCTCCATGAGTCAATTTATGTTAGAAAATGAATATTCAGTAGTTAAAAATGGTTTTGGCTCTAGTTTTGACCTTGAAAAGTGCCCCAAGTCGATAACTTGAGCTCCATATAGTGAAGTACACTATAGAACTTTGAAGAACTATAGTACACTATAGAAGCGCGCACTTTGAAGCCCCGAAACTCAGCTTAAAACATCTTTTCCCAAGCTCTCATTGTGTTTTTTGGAATCTACGCATAAAATTACCCTAGAAAAAGTGGTTTTGAAGTGAAAAAAAGTGGTTTTGAAGAAAAAAAAGTGCCCCCCAACTGCCTTAGTACCAAACTATTTGCCTTCAATAATCAAAATGAAATTTGAATCTAGATCGTGTTATTTTCAAAGTGCTAACCTAAAAGCTTTCAAAGAACTCACTTGGCAAATTTGGCTTTGCTTTGTGCGGCGGTGGAAGGATTGAGTCGATAATTTGCGGAGCCGATCTGCAAATTGATTAGCAACTTAAATCTTGAATAATAATTAATGTAAAGTAGATAAAATTTATGCAAATTCGAATGAGTATTCTTGTTAATGCATCAAAAACGCTCAATTTTCGCTTTTTTTCCCTGAGCTTCAAAATGAACTTAAAATTAAAATTAGAATTTTGGCTAGGAAAGTTTGACAAAACAGTTGGATCTAGGTTAATGTATTGTCTTAGAAATTCAAAAAGATGGAAGCGCAACACTATATTGATTAGCAACTTAAATCTTGAACAATGTACAGCAAATGTACCAAATGTACCAAAACTTTGTCTGTACAGCAAATGTACCAAAGCTTTGTCTACAGTTTGCTTGCAATATGCAAAAGAAGCTTGTATAAACAAAGTACCAGTCTTATCTAAAACTCACGATGAATTCGGCTGCCCAACTACCGGATTTGTCAAATAGATCTTGTCAATGTACTCGGGATTTCCCCATCCTTTGCCATCTCGGATATCGCCGTGACCCGTGTGAATGAAAGAACCTATAAATAAATGCAAAAACAAATTATAATCTGGCTATTTACCTGCAATCGGCCTGGATATTTTCTGATTTCCATCTCTTCCCGTTTCGTTGGCCGACTTGACAAAGACCACGGATCGCATAAAGTTGCCAAAGCACCGCGTGCGCTCGCTTTGCCCAAACCACGTGACGCCACTGAAATTCTTTTATTTTTGCGATAAACTTAGCAGGCATTGAAAATTTTAGCTAGCTTAGCATTTTAGCTAGCAATTAGCTTTGCAACTCACGTATTTTCGATAATCTGCACTCGATCACCGATTCTCAGCTCAAGTTGTTGATCGTTTGCCGCTGGATGGACCTCTCGTACTTCAGCAATGGAGAAACTTGCCTAAAAAATCGTGCTAATAGAAAATTATTTAAAGAAAATGATTTAAACAAAAGGTTTTAAAGAAAAGAAAACGCCATCATTGCTATTTACCTGTTTCAATAATCCCCCACAACATTTTGAACTTCGGACGAGCATCGGGATTCGATTTCCAGCAGAGATCCATTAAATCGTAGACTTGTTGAGAGCAAAATCTTGGTTTCGGCAACCGCTCACCGGCATCCGTTCTCTCCAGAACCTGGATTGATGAAAAGTTTTGATAGTTAGCTTTTCAAAACTCACATCTCTTCCCCTCAATCCAGCCCATGGATCCTCACCAAACGAGTAGATTTCCCACATCAGCACACCCATTGCCCAAACATCGGATGCGTGGGAGAATTGACGGAAACGGAGGGATTCGGGTGGGCACCTGAATTGTAATTTGATTAAACCATACAGTCCTGAGTAGGGAAGAGCACGAACTCAAGGTGAACTTTTGCCTGGGCTTCTAGTGCACTTTATAGAGTCGGATATGAGGGAATCCGAATCTGAAATCGAAATCTCCCAAATGACTTTCCAGGTGTGTACAAATTCAATCGAAAATTTTGTGTTAGAACGGAGAAGGTCTTCCGTTGCGGAAAAGGTCTTCCTAGTGAGCTCCTTGCTTTAAAGCGCTCTTTCCTAACCGGGAAATGGTGCGTTGGTGACATAGTGGATCGTGTAACTTCCTCCCACGGCGTCAGGGTTTGGTCCCTCATGTAGCTTTTTTTGTTTTTCTTTCGAAGCAACTTCTAGCTTTTTGCAACTAACTGCATTCTTCTCCTTTGCTGATTCCAAAAGGGAAGCATCTATACCAGACAGGTTTGCCAGATCGAGGGCGGTTATGCGGTCTCCACAAAGAACACCTCGCCAGTCATTTACATAAGAATTTCTCTTTGCTTTGTTAATGGTACAAAAAGAAGATATTCAGCTGGAAATTTGTACTCAGGGGTTTTCAGGGTCGGGGACTCGATTGGAGCTATTCATTTTATTAGGACCGAAGTTCGGGGAGCGGTAAGTTTGTCAAGTGAGCCGAACCGGAGTCGCGGAAAGCCCGGATCACAAATTCCTGGTTTTAATGTGTTAAATTACTATTTAGAATCTAATCTCAAAGTCTTATTTTGATGCTCACCACGCGAAGGGGCACTCGCTTCTGTGGATTCATAATGTAGAGTCGCTCATTTTCCTCTAAACTTCTCATCAAGCCAAAGTCGCAGATTTTCACGGTCTATAAATTGATAATATATAATATAAAAATATAAAACATAATATAATGCTGACTAGTAATATAATGCTGACTAGTTTAACATTTTCTTCTTTCACAAACCCTTTCATCCACCGATAGCAGAATGTTCCTCGCTGCGAGATCTCGATGTACACAATGCTTCATTTCTAGAAAGGTCATTCCCTTTGCGATCTGAAATCAATCGGATATTTTGTTGCTTTCAACTGTGATAAGTTTTAGTTTAAATCTTAATTTTAGATCATGGAGTCTAATATAGCAGTATGTTCTCCACAAAATGATTCTTCGTAACTTCTAAACGTTCGGGATCACAGGTTTGAACTACCTGACTTCACTATCAGTCTTGTATTGTAAAAAATTTCGCTTGGATTTGGCTGGCATTAGAGCGGAAGCCCAGGGTTCGAAAGATCCGAGTATTTCCCCTCTCTTTCTTCCTCTTTTTCTTTCTTTCTTTCTCTCTTTCTTCCTTTCTTTCTTCCTTTCTTTCTTCCTTTCTTTCTTCCTTTCTTTTCTTCTTTCTTGTCTTTTCTTATTTCTTCTTGGGAGAAGCAGAAAGCTTAGTGATATCTGCCCGATAAGCAGAAGGTCGAGTGTTGAATTCCCCCTCGGTTTCAAATTCTCTACTTTATTTCTCTACTTTACTTCATTTAGTTACTTTATTACTGTGTTTTGTTTGAAAATTCGAACCTGTTGCGAGAAATCGAGCATTTGAGAAACGAGAAGTGGCGGTTTCTTTCGATTTCTCAACCGATCCAATAGTGATCCGCCTTCGCATAGTTCGAAAACCTGGAATTGTAAGACTTTGTCAAAAATCATTGCTCAAGCTTTCTAAAAACACTTTGACTTTGACTTTTCATACTTTGAAATGCAAAGTATTTTGTCATTTTCTTCTCAAAAATGTCTTCTTATTAGTAGCTCAATACTTTCGTATTTCGTAATTGTCAAATTCATACTTTTGAAATATTTTTCTACTTTAACATGTAAAATCGTTTTGTAAATTTCTTCTCCTTGAATAAATCACTGCATAATTCTTGCCCATCCCTGCAAAATATGGCTTTCATCGTCTCGAGGCAAAAAGGGAAACTCTTTCGGTGAGAGAAATTCTCTGAAGAAGAAACGCCAAAAGGAGGAGGAAAACAGCAAAGGAGTGGCTGATTCACTTTCTTATGTTGTGCTTTTCGTTCCACATGTGTAAATGGAAAAAAGGGGGACTGGAAAAGGAGAGAAGTAGTGGCGGCGGAAATCGACCGGTCGCTCAGCTTCCTCCAACTCACAACAATACCGGTCTCCCGGGAATTCATTTAGCGTTTATGGGGTGATTTCGTTTATGGATAAATAGCGGATAAATGGCGGATAAATGGCTTAAAAACCTTTCAAAAACTTATCCAAAAGAAAACAAGTTTTTCCCAGGTCAACTAATGACAAGATTCACATAAGTCGGTTCGATTTTCGCACGATTCTCCACCAGGCTGTCCCAAAAGTTCTTATACTTCTTTGTAAACGAGCAGTTTGACTCCGAAAACGATCTGTTTTTGAAAAACTAACGCCGGATTATGAAAATTTAGATATTTTTACCCTTTACTATACTTTTTTTTTGCTTAAAAGTTGTATCTCTCAAACAACTTTTTGATGAGGATGATCAAAAAAGCTTTTAAGGTTTGGGTGCCCTTCGTAAAATCGCTTGAAAATCTTTCGTTTTTTGAGATATAAAGTTTGTTTGTGGCTTGTTTTTTAAGAAAACATGTTGGTCTATCAAATGATAGCAACAGTTTTTCGAAGAGATCTCATTGTGCAAAGTTTAGGTCAACTTTTGCAAATCTTCAACGACGAGACCCGGATGTAAAAAGTCTTAGTCAAAAGTCTTTGTTGAAAGTTGAAATCTTTTCATGAAAATGGGCATATTAGGGTAAAAATATCTGAATTTTTAGAATCGGGTGTTAGTTTTCTCGTAATTCATGTGTTTTTCATGTCAAAAAGTTACTGCTTACGGAAAAAGTAGAAGAACTTTTCGAAAAACCCTATATTAGCCTGGAAATTCGTTATCAACTATATAAAAAGTAAAAATAATGTTATTTGAAGAGAAAAAAGTGAACCCCCCAACCTTAATAGCGCCATTTTGTGTTACAACGAGCACATAGAATCAAAGCAATAGCCGTACAACCTACAATCTACAATCGTCAAACCGATCGCCCCTCACGATTCCCATAGAATTGTCCACTCGTCTCCCCATTTCCCTTTCTTTTCACTGTTTGCGCTCATCGTCATTTGGTCATCATTGTCCTGTCTGTTTTCGAATTTTTAATGAAACCGTTTTCGTTTTAAATTGTTATATTATGTAAGAGAAAACTTTTTACAATTTTATAATCTTTAATGAAATTCACCGCTCTTAATGTTTCTTTGTTGTTTGAGTAGAATCTGGAAAAGTCGAGGCTTTGAGTGAGTCATCGATTTCGTAATCCTTTGTTGGCTATATAACGATGCGAAATTTCAGTATTTGAGCAGATTTTGAGAAACTTTCAATACAATTATCGTTATTTTGAAAGAATTCAATATTTTGCAGGTTTTGACAAGAAAAGTCTTTATTTTTTTACAATTTCCCACCCCGTTCTTGGTTTCTTTTAGAAATTTGCAAGTTTTTATTTAAATCTTTCCAATCTTTGTTTAATTTCGAGTCTTGTATATTTTTTGCAACAACTGTTGGCCAGTTTTATACAATTCGCTCAATTTTAGAAATGGAACGAATCGGTGACACTTATCGAAGCAAAGTCGACGAACCATCCGAGTATCACCACAGCTTTTTCAGCAATGGGAAGTTATGGCTATTTGGGACAACTTGTAAGTTTTAAAAGCTTTCATTTTGTTGAAAATGAGTTTATTTATTATCTAAAACGTGTCTTTTTAGATGTTTCACAACCCACTTACAACTGGGGAAATCGAGTGACTTTTGGAGGCGGTTATGCGATCGATTTTGACCCGAACACACGAGAATGGGGACAAGCGGTGACGGTGAGTTTGATTTTGATTTGCTAAGTTTTATGACAATGCTGTCCATCAATTTTTGCGTAAAATTGTGTAATCTAAACTAGACATGGACACGATCCATTTATAATGCTTACAATCATAGAAAAAAGTCTTGGAAATTTGAAAATAAGCAATTTTTTAGTGTTATTTGTTTGCTTGAGCTTCGGAAACTTTGGAAGAAACTTCCAATAACAGATTTATTCTAAATATGCTCTTGCATCACTAGAAAAAGACCGTTTGCAAAAATCTTGAGTGGGAAGCTCAAAAAGTGAAAAAATCTAATGGACAAAAGTCTTGGAAATTTAACAGCGTGACACGGACATTTTGAATAACTGCTTGCCTAGAAATGCTGTGGCAATGGTGACATAGACTATACATTTTTAGCTTTCTAATAAGCTATCACATAGCTTATTTGGTTGTGATTAAAAAAGTTAAATATAGATAACATTATTTGTCATCAATTTACACAGCGAAAAGCCATTTTTTGATGTTACCCATATTTAACTTTTTTAATCGCAACCAAATAAGCTTTGTGATAGCTTATTAGAAAGCCAAAAATGTCTAGTTTATAATATTTTCAGTTTGATGCCTTGACTTCCGATGAGAATTGCGGTGAAGCCTTTTTCCAAGCCGATGGTGCGATTTTTCTCTTTCTCTACACGGCTTTTGGCGGTTTTATTCCAAAAGCTCTCTATCGATGGAATGAAAATGAGAGGAAATGGGCAAGCATCCAATTGCAGGTGAGTAAATAATATATACTTTATTTCAATAATAAGGCGTAAAGCGTAACAAAAAGATCCAAAAAAACACAAAAATTTAAATGGCACAGTATGCAATTAGTCGGAAGAAAGGAAAAAAACATAATACCATTTACAAATCTAGTAAATTGGATAGTTTGAGCAGAGAAATAGCGGATTTAAACGAGCTTAGAGATGAAAGATTGCGAATTTAATTGGGTAGAGAATTTCACAACGTAACTACTCGATTTATAAAAAAACTTTCACCACTTTTAGACAAAATAAGAAGACGCTTCAAAAGAAGCGTACCCCTTAAAGCTAAAAATGAGTCAGTAGATATCTAGTTGAGCTAAAACAAACGTTTAGATAGATGCATCAAGCGAGATCCCAGCTGATCCAGATCGTCGAGTGGATGTGAGATCAATCGATGGGAACCCTGGCAGCAAAGACGGATATTTCTTTGTGACCATCGGATCTTCGGATACTTCCGTTCATCATATCGATTTTTCTTCCGGAAAAATTAGCAAGAAGTTTGATGTGAATCCAGAGGCGATGTTGATCCCGGTAAAGCTTTCACAGATAGATTTATTGTTGTTGAAAATACACGGTGGCCGCGAATTATACCGACAACTTTTTGGAAAAGTAGCTGGGAAATGGCTAATTTGTTTCAAAAGTGGCAAGTATTATATAGAAAATTGTACCCCTAATTCTTGGCAACATTTATCTACCAAAAACCTCCCGTTTGGGCTTGTACAACTCATTTAACGAGCTCTTGAAAAAGCGCTAGTCGACATCTCTCCGGCGAATCTGTCATTTGGCCGTTTTTCTCTATTAAAAATTGTTAAGAAAAGCTTTTTAATATTTCTTTAATGCAAAAATAGCGTTTAAAATCACTTAATAACATTAAGAAGACACATAACTGTTTTAGCTGAACTGGCATAACCAAAATTTAAGTTGATATCAAGCTCCTTTTGGAGGGGCAGAGAAAAAGGTGAAAATTGAGTATTTTCGATGAGTTGTATAAAGCCAAAAGGGAGGTTTTTGGTAGATAAATGTTACCGAGAATTAGGGCTAAAATTCTCGATGTAACACTTGCCACCTCTAAAATAAGTTAGGCATTTGCCAGATACTTTTCCAAAAAATTGTCGCTTTAATTCGCGGTCACCTTGTATTTACAAAACTATGCCAATGAATTGCTTTTAGAGAGGGATTCCAGTGAAAGGAGTCGTTTTTGGTGATAAACTCCACGTATTTTACGCTGTGCACGGATGTGGTTTCCGATGGGAACCGGCCAGACTCGTCACTTTGAACCTCGAGAATGGAGAGGGACAGGAAAAACAGGTAAACGACCATGTAAAGATAACTAAACCATGTAAAACAATGCAAATATTCAACTAGATTTTAAAGTTTTACTATATAGATTGAGTCATAGTTGTTACAAATTCAAGTTCAGATCAACGGAGACTTGCCAAGATTCGGCTTTGCGGGAGCTCGAGTGACAGCGCTGAGAAAGAACAACGAATGGCTTCACATTGGGGGTGTGGATAAGCTTAAAAATATAACTACAAACTCAAAGTACCTATCTAAACATCTACTTTTAATTTTCAGGCTCCATTCAAAAAGGAATGACCGGATCGGAGGCTTCCAGGGATGTTTACAGTGTGAATCTCGGAAATGAGGAACCCGCTTGGGCAAAGCTTCCAGTTGAGGTTCGTAAAGGAGTTTTAGATGCAATTTTCTTTGTGTTGCCAAGTATAAATATAGCAAATTTCTGAAATAGTCACGAGTAGAAAAAAGCTTTCAAAAACTAGGCCCAATTTTCAGGATTCCGACCCCGGTGAGGTGAACTTTGGCTACGATTTCACTGGTGACGCTCTCTACACCGTTGACAAGACTTCGGTCAAGAAATCTCAACTCTAAGTTGTAGTTTTATGCAAATATTGATCAAACTAAACCCAGAGCTTCAAAAGTCTTTATTTTTTACCCTATTTTATCATTTTATCATAATACTTTTCGGGTGGTGAAAGAATTTCTTGTCGTAAAGTTAATAGCTGTGATTATTGGTGACCAATTGGTGAATTTTGGTAATAAATGTTTAAGAATTTAAGTTTCAGATTGTTTTTTTATTAGTTAAGGCATCTATTTTCGAATATAAAGTATTATTAACAAAATGAATGCGAGGAATTTTGGCTAACAGATTCACGACGACGCTATTGTCGTGTCGCTACTGTTTTACAGATCGTTGTCGCTATTGTCGTTACTGTTTTACAGATAATTTGGTGAAGATTCAAAGATAAACTAAACTATTATAGTCTTTCGATAGCCCTGAATCTCCTCTTGAAAACTAATACAAAGTTACCGAGAAATTTCTATGAAATAATTAACAAAAGCTTTAAAAACTTGAGTTGACACGAAAAGTAATCGTCATCAGCACCACTGGTGGATCGTATCGTCGTGAATGTGTTAAATTTGAATGTTAAATGCATTAGAACTTGAATGACACGAAAAAATAAACTTTCATCAATTATAGGAACATCAATTATCAATTAAGATGTTCCTATAAAAAAAGCTTAGCAAATTTTAGCTAAAAGCAATCGCTTTGAAATGTAAAATTTTATAAATACTTTGGAAATAAATTTTTACTATTTTTTTAGTTATTTTAACATCTTAAGTTTCTATAATTAATGAAAGTTTATTCTTTAGTGTCATTCAATTTCTATTACATGCAAAAAAGATTGTTCAAAAAATGTTGATTCAATAAAAAGCTCCAGCCGCGTCAAGGAGGGTCAAAAAAAGCGTCATTTTTGCTCCTTGTCGACCCTAGTTCTCGTTGTAGAGTTACTTTGGGCATTTTTTCGCTCACCAATATTGATCATGAGATCTATCGAATGAGGTATCACTCAACCCAAATGATCTACAGTGCTTTTCACTAAATGCCTTATGTATATTCCCACGACTTTCCCCTTTTTTCACCAAAAAAAAACTTATTGAACGCTTTTGGCTTTTTCTTTTCCCTTTCACTAGCTGATTTCAAAGGCGTTTGAATGATTGAAGGATTTGATAGACAGTTTACAAAACAAGAAAACTTTGGTATGTTGATGACCCAAGCTGGGGAATTTATGCTGTGATCCCATTAGTTAGTGTTGGTTTTTGAGGGGATGTTGGCGGGATTGGAGGTGGAGGTTGAGGGGCACAAAGGGAGCCACGCTGGAGCTATGATCCGACTGGTCTCAACCAGAAGGGCTCTTCAGTGCTTTTCACTAAATGCTCATTTCGGATCATTCCCTTGTGAGTGTGTGTTGTTTGATGGTTAAATATTGCGTTTAAATTGTAAGAAAATCGATTCAATTCAATCAATTCTTTATCAGAAATCCGGCCGGATTTCTACTCATTTGCTACTTGCCAAAAATTAACCAATCCTCAACTTTGGTTATATTTGACAAACCTCAACAAACAAATAACCGTTTACAATCTCAACAATCGCAATACCGTGTATGTGATTGGTGAGACTGAAGTGAAGAAATTTTCCCTCTGTTGCTCTTTTAGCTAATACTTTTGTTCATAAAACATTTTATTCAAATATACATACAGTTGAACGCAAAGAAATAATCGTTATACCCATTTTTGTGAAGATTTCTGGAATGGTATCGTAAAAGCTTTGTTCTTTGGGTGAGATCACAATCATGCAAAACAAAAGGGTGGTGGTGTAAAAAGAAAGAAATCAAAAGAAGCGCATTAGACCTGTGAGTCACGATTTTCTGCTGACATTACTCGATTCTCCACTATCACGACTATCTCTATGGGGTGAGGGTTGACGGGATGTTGACGGCCCTTCATCGCCACTGTAACTGTCCTGTCTCGTGGGGGATGAGGCCAACGCCAACACTGACTTTCTACGGGGACCAAGGCGAGCCGACAATCGCTCGAGTCGTCCCCATTCCTGAAATTGTCATGAAATGATTAGGTTTACACAAAATCTGCTTTCTTGAGGGATAGAAAGTTCATTAACTATAATATGAAAGCTCATTAACTAAATTGCTTTACTGCAATGAGTACTATAAGGTGAAAGCTCATTAACTATAAGGTTTACTGCAATGAGTACTATAAGGTGAAAGCTCATTAACTATAAGGTTTACTGCAACGAGTACTATAAGGTGAAAGCTCACTAACTATAAGGTTTACTGCAATGAGTACTATAAGGTGAAAGTTCACTAACTATAAGGTTTACTGCAATGAGTACTTTAAAAGTTAACAAATTACCCTAGGTATGGCCGGTATCGGTATCGATAAAGTTTAAGCTATGGTATGAATCGTTTTGTGGACCGTTAACAGGCCTATTTGTACAAAGTTTGCCTATGAAATTGCTGATCTAAAGATCACAAAAGATCTTCTAGTTGTTCAAGAACAGATTTCAACTTTGATAGCCTTACCTCTTGATATGTTTCGTACAACTTCTTCGCATCGGTCGCATAAACGAGTTTTTTTTCGCGGAACTTTCGGGGAACTAAAAAAAAGAGAATGCTGATGAATGATTTTTGAAGAAAATGATTGTTCAAGAAAATGATTTTATCCAGCTGTTTCCCCAATCAGAAGTTCAACTACTGCCTTGAACAAGGTGATCAAAAAGCTTCCACACACTTTATTACAAAGACAGCTCGATTTTTCAGCTAAAGCCCAGATCGAATTTGGACTTACTATAGAGTATTTTAAAACTGAAATTCTGGGGAGCATTTCTGCACCTAAACGATCCTGATCAGAGCCACCTAGCTCTCCAAAAAGACATTGTAGTGCGCTAGAGGTAAACTGTCATGGCGCTCACCTATTTGAACCTGTTTTCAATAAATAAATCCTTCAAAAAGCCTTTTTAAATTTACACTTTTGCTTCAAGTAACAGTTAAATTGTTATTTTAAACGAATGAAATCCCTCATCAAAATAGAAACGTAAAGTAGTCTTGAAAAACATGCGAAACTCTGTTGTCGTGACGATCTCGTGATCGAGATCCCAGCCAGACACCTTTGTGGGCGAACGCCTATTGTGCGAAATTTAATATGCGTCGCTATCCGTTCAATTCCATTGTGTGCAAGACGAGGCCAACGCCAAAGTTCTATATAAAAGCAATGTGAATGATCTGCCGAGGTGTGCTGTGGAGTCGTTCCTCGATATCTGCACTGATGCCAATTCCGAGTAAAATGGCATCAGTGCAGATATCGAGGAAAGCCAAGACGACAAATATGTATTTGAGCATTTTGAGAAAAATGTGAAGATGTCGAAAGATGGAAGAGTTGTCGTTGCTCTACCATTTCGAGAAGGAGCTCAAGGAGAACTAGGGACAAATTTTCGAGTTGCTTTAAAAAGGCTTCACATCTTGTGGGATTCAGCAAGCAAGAATCCGAGTCTGTGGAAAGCAATCACAGAATCAATCGAGCAACAAGAAAAGATCGAAATTGTGGAAGAGGTGAGAGAACCTCCAAAAGGACGGTCCTACGTGGTCCCTTACCTTGTTGTGACCAAGATGGAATCAAAAATTTGTCCCTAGTTCTCCTTGAGCTCCTTCTCGAAATGGTAGAGCAACGACAACTCTTCCATCTTTCGACATCTTCACATTTTTCTCAAAATGCTCGAATACATATTTGTCATCTTGGCTTTCCTCGATATCTCCAATCTCAACCACCAATAATCACTACATCTGTGTTGTCTCATGGGCGATTTGCCTCGAATTGGGGTTCTTATGGCAATGGCCGCATTGCAAGGCTTCTTGAAAAGGCTAGAATATCTGATCCGAGTGATTTTCTTATAGAAATGTTCATCAAAATTTCAGCTTCAAAATACCAGAAAACAAGGGAAACTTTGTTTTAGTTTTCATTTAGAAAATTAATCATTTACAAGTGTGCGGAAACTTTTTGATCATCCTGTAATATTTTGGTTGATTCCCAACCCAAATCCCATAAAAAAGCGCATTAATTTTTAAAATAGCATACCCAACAATAAGTGCCTTGTAATATCATCAAGTAATCGTAAAACTCAATTGCCAATCTTTCCAACTCACCTCTATCTTCATCAAAACTTTCCCTCACTCGACTCCGTCGCCGTTTCGGCTCTTCATCTGGGATTTCGATTGTCACATGTTGCAATTCAACTTCATCCATGATATCCGGCGGTTTCATTATCTAATTCTTATTGTTATTTTTATTAGCTGATCATAAATCAGCTTTTTATCAGCTAATCATAAGCCATTTAAAACATAAACATATCTTTGCCAGTGCTCGATATTTTGCATATTAAAAGTTGAAACAAAAACGCCAAGCAAAACAAAAAAAAAACAAAAAACTCAAAAATAAAACTCTTTACATTGTAGAAAACTTTAGCTTGTAGGCGTAAAGTCTTTGGTCTCAGTGTGGAGAGATTCTAGAAATGCTTGAAAATTCGAGAGATTTGAGTACCTGAATATTGTGATTATCCTCTTCAAGCTCTCCGTCATCATCGAAATCCTCCGGCATTTCTAAGCGAATCGATTCGGGAAAAGAGGGTTGAGTCTAAAATCTTTTGACTTTTGCAAATGCTTTAGAAATTAAATTCGATGTCTACCTCTTCTACAGGAGAACAAATATACAAATCGTTCGATAGAGATTGAAATGTCGGATTTCGGATTATCAGATCCGGTTCGATCAGTGAAGGAGCTCTGAAAAGGTTGAAATTGCAATTTATCTGATTAAGATTACTATTCTTGATAAAAATGATCTAGGCTTCTACAAAAAACCAATGGAAAAGTTATTGTAAAGCGATAAAACTTCACTATTGCTTTGGTAAGCAACTACAGCTCAACCAAACTCAACCAACTACAGCTCAACTCACTGGCTACATATTGAAGTCTTTGGTGTTTTCTTTGGAGTCGTTTGATTCGTCAATAGCGGGGCTTCTTCTTGCTCTGGACTCTCAGGACTCATTGGTTCACTTCTCGGTTCTGGCTCAATTGGTGGCTCCTCCTCATCCTCATTAATATCCGGTGGTGGTTCTTTGCCTTCCTGCAATAATTTTGCTGTAAAAATGCTTTATTCAGGCTCATCTCAGGCTCTTCAGGCTCAGCTAAGGCTCTTCAGGCTCAGCTCAGGCTCTTTTTATCTGTATTTGCACGATAAAAAGATTGCTAATCAGTCATTAAATAATTTCCCAAAAAGCAAAATATTTCTGGAGGTATGGGGAATTGAACCCCAGACCTCTCGCATGCTAAGCGAGCGCTCTACCACTGAGCTATACCCCCAGGTGGCTTTGTGGTAAAGAAAAGAGGGGAAATCTCGCATCCAAATATGCCATTGTCAATTGGCTGGATCGAAAATGGTGTCAATTGAGGGGAAAGTGTTGATATGTTCACTGCAAATCCCCCCAAGACATCATGGGGGTATAGCTCAGTGGTAGAGCGCTCGCTTAGCATGCGAGAGGTCTGGGGTTCAATTCCCCATACCTCCAGAAATATTTTGCTTTTCATTTTTTGATTTTATTTTCATTTTCGCTTCAATTTTATAGTTTCAATGAAACTCAAAAATTGAAAAATTCAAATCAATTGCACAAAAATTTTCACCGCAATAGCAATAGTTCGCTCAACAACATTCTCCAAATCCAAAGCATCGATCGCTGACGGATCGATGCCACATTTTTTGCCGACCGCGTGCAGCAAATCTTTCACTTTCATTCTGAAAACGAAGAGAAGTTTAAAAATTGAAATTATAGAATTTTTGGATAAGCTTTCTACAAATTGTAAACGGAAATTTGAAAATGAAAACTGACGCCTTTCCACCAAACCAGATCTTTGTCTGCGCGGCGTCTTTCATCTTTTTCCCAAGATAATGCAACTTTTTCATGTACTCCGAGCCAATATCTGAAAATTGATCATAGAATTGATGCTGATGATCTAATAGATCTAGAAATTTGAATAGAAATAGGACTAGATCTAGAAATAGACCGAAAAATAGACCTAGAAATGGATCTAGAAATAGATCTAGAAATAGATCTAGAAATAGATCTAGAAATAGATCTAGAAATAGATTTAGAACTAGATATAGAACTAGATCCAGAAATAGATCTAGCAATAGATCTAGAACTAAATCTATTGGGTTGGGGACTATGACTCGGCGCCGAAAATCAAAAAAATGTCTAAAACTTCTATTCGACTTCGTCAAATAATATGCGTTTGATATCAGTAGAATGGTTAACTAATTCTCTACAAAATGACATTTAAAAGAAAATTCAAACAGCGCCTCCGCTCAAGAAAAAGCCATTTTTTCACAAAAACTACAAACTGTCATCTAGAAAAAACAATTGGTGGGATCTTCCTGCAAATTTGGCAACTTAAGTAATTGAATGTGCTCTATCTTTTTTATATAAACACCAAAGAAGGTTTATGTGAAAGAAACTGTTCAAATGATGAGTCGGGCTCTTTGCCATTTTGACTAGCTGTGTTTGGGAGTCCATAAGCTCCACGAAAGAAAAGCTTTGTGGAATCTCTCAAAAGTCATTTTGTAGAGAAATAGTGGATCCTTTTGATGAAACCAAACGTATATTTAAAGAAGGCTTTATGTGTGCAAAAAGTCCCTTTAAAGTTTGGCGCCGAGTCATAGTCCCCAACCCAATAGAAATAGACCTAGAAATAGATCTAGCAATAGATCTAGAAATTTCGACTTACCAATAGCAATGGTTGTGATAGCAAGTCCTAGACAAACGTAGAGGAAAGTGATTGGGAGAAATACCACTCTGAAAAGACTCTTTGAATCACTTTGCTTTTGGTTTTTTTGGTGTATTGTAGCATTAATAAATATCTGAAAATTGTTTTATAACATTTTTAAAACATTTTTATAACATTTATAACATTAGAACCGACTTTGATGGGACGAGTTGCCCGAAATCGATCGCGGTCAAACACAGAAAATTGTAGTAAAGCCCGTTTAGGAAATCGACCTGTAATTGGGCTAGTTTTAAGTCAGATTTTGAAAATCTTGAGGCAAATTTCGAAAATCTGAATAACTGAGCTAAAAATCTCAAAGATTTAACTCTCCAAAGTGTGATAGCAAGTCCTGTAATGACTCACCTGGCCATTCAAAGCTGGCAACAACAGAGCTCCAAGAGCCACATATAACAAGAAGACAATTAACAGAACTAGCGAGGTCACCTGAATTGGTTGTATTCAATTACCTGAATACTTAAATACTTACCGTAAATACTGTAATAGTACCCCACCCCCATAATGACGGTGCGGAGTGTTGCGTAGTCTAGCTTTGAACGAGTCTTTCTCGACACTGGTTTATGCTACAATGCGCGCAAAGGTATCAAAAAATAGCTGAAATTCAGGGCTATTTTTTGATACCAAAAACGAATCTTTTGAAAGTACGGGCGCTTTGAAAAAAAAATGAAATACTAAAAAACTTTTGCGACTACGCTTCCCTATAATGACGGTGCGGAGCGTTGCGTAGTCTAGCCCGTTTTTCTCGACACTGGTTTATGCTACAATGCGCGCTTAGGTATCAAAAAATAGCCCTGAATTTCAGCTATTTTTTGATACCAAAGACGTATTTTTTGAAAGTACGAGCGCTTTGAAAAAAAATGAAATACTAAAAACTACGCGACTACGCGACTACGCGACTGTACGAGGGCGGTGGGGTCCTATTGTAATAGTAAATACTGTACTATTTACGGTAAATACTTAAATACTTGAAAACCTACTTGAATTGAAGATTCTTTATATTCTTCACCACTCAACGAAGCCTTTGACATTCTGCGCCGTTGTCGATACTCTTCGAGCTTAAATCTTCGAGCTTAAATTGTAGAAAATCGACTTGAGCTGCACTAGCTTTTGAATTTCTAATTTCGAGTTCTAATTTCGAGTTCTAATTTCGATTTCTAATTCCGGTTCAAGTTTCTTCTTCAAATTCTTGAAATCTTCAAAGTTTGAATGACTCACCATTCTTCTTGAATCACCGGCAAATTGATTGAGATATTGACCGACATTAGCGATGATGATCATCGTAATCGGAATCCCGCAAATCCCGTAAGCGATGCAGAAAATTCGACCCGCTTGAGTGATTGGGGCTATTCGATTGTAGCCTGAAAACTTTGCAAAACATAGATTGACTCTGATTTAACTCATAAAGGAATGATGTCAGCTCGTGATCGACTCTGAACTGATTAGACCTTATAGAGTCAACCACGCTGATCACTATGCCGTAAAAACTAGCTGCTAACATCCACGCGAACTCAAGATATTTGGCCGAGAAGTTTTGGGATTCCTTTAAAAGGCTTTTTACTAGCCAGTCAAATATCAGGCTGATGGCCTAGTGGATAAGAGAGCGGTATGCAAAGGAAGCTATCGATATTTAGCTTGGGCTCAATTCCTTTCATTAAAGATCAAGGAGCAATGCGAATTCTAAAAAATTCAAAAATTTTAGTCAAGGGAGGAATTGAACCCAAGCAAAAAGCCAATCGCTCGCTCTGTATCCTCTTATCCACTACGCCACCGGCCGACATCTTACTGCCTTTTGAAGCCTTCTTTTGAGGCCTTTTGAAGGAATCGAAAAAGTCCTCGACTCTAGAAGGTCTAATCGATCCCGAATCGAACGGCGTTGGTGAACTGACTTGTCAAGGAAGGGTCAACTGGCTGAGCCAAATGCTAAGCGACCTATACCATTTGGCGCAGAATTTTATGCTGATTCCGAATATAGATTCCGTTTTTGCTAAATGACAATCTGCAGGAGTTATAAGCGTTTAAAGTTTTTTAGGACTCTGAAAAGGTGGTCATTTAGATCTTAAGGGCTTCCTTGCAAGCACCAGCTCGGTGCAGCCGTGACCGAGTGGTACAGCGTCCGTTTCCAGAGCGAGACCGCACAAGTTCCACCCCAGCTTTGAATTTTTCTTTTGCTTTTTTTCAGGAAGTGCTGACTAGTGTTCTTTGTGCGCACAATTGCTAGTACAAGTATTGCAATAGCTAAAAACAGTACAAATGTATTCGTACCGTACACTTCTATTTCATTGTCAGTTATGTTACATTGATGTTATCCTTCATTGATCTTCATTGAGATTGCAATGAAGAGAAATGGTATAGCCTGGTCTCCAGGTAACTCATTGACCTAATTTTACTCATCTAATCGAATCTAATTCGTTCAAAACCGAAATCAATGTTTTTGGACTCACCCAAAGTCGTCACAATTCCAAATCCATACAAAGTGGCCGTCACAAAACTCCACTCCGAGCGCTCATCTTTCTCCGGGGTGAAACAAGGCGATAATCGATAAGCAGTTGCGTTGATCGCTCGCTTGTCTTTATGAGGAAGATGCTCGATCAGCGAGAGTTTCTAAAATTAAGTCATTGTCGTTCTAATGTCGTTTAAGACTCGTCGATACGACTCGTCTAACCTTTTTGATGCAATCAATCTTTGTCATTAGCTCCTTGTCTTGATGTTCTCTAAAATTTTGGAATAATTAGAAAATTTGAGCACAAAAACTTTAATGCATCAGCTTCCAATCGATTGAAGATCATTCCACCAGCAAAAGCATAACAAAGAACAAGGAGAAGAAGAGAACAGTGGAGGGTGAAGGGCTTGGCTCTCTGAAATTGGGGTTTTTCTTTAAAAGCGGTTGGATGACATTCATAATTATATCCCTAATAAAACTTCACATTTAAAATATCAGCTCAATTAATTAGTGACCCATGCAGTGTTGCCTTTCAGATTACTAGTAACGATAGATTTCGAGTGTCCCCCACCCCCTCTGCTCCCCAAATCCTCCAAGTCCTCCAAGTCCCATCTCCAAGTGCCCCCCAAGTGTTTTCGACGCTTTTTACCCATAACTTTTCGACTTTCGACTGATTTAGTCATCAGTTTATTTCTTAAAACTAATAATTTAATGAATCTGATGATCTATTGGGTTGGTGAATTGAAAACTGCGGGACTTTGAACTATAATTTATTCAACATAAAACCATCAATTCATTCCAAATAATTTCCATTATTATTGACGACTTCTGCCCATTTTACAGGCATTGTGCGGATTCCTCTTTCGTAGTAGGATTTTGGTTTGTGTGTGAGACAAGTGTGAGACTCAAAACTCGAGGACTGGAGATGGAGACTGGAGATCCCCGTTTGAGCACTTTCTTCAAAAGAAACCCATTTTGGTGTCAATAGAAAAGTTGTAGAGAATCAAAAATGAGGCTTATAGCCAAATTTCTAAAAAGATACACTTAGTAGTTTCGCTTAAAATGCAAGTTTTGTTGCAACTTTTGTGAAAATTCGTAAATTTTGCATTTCTTGAAAACCAGTTTTTGAATCGTTCTGAAAATTTGGATATAAGCTTGATTTTTGATTCTCTACAACTTTTCCATTGACACCAAAATGGGTTTCTTTTGAAGAAAGTGCTCAAACTGTCACATATGACAATAGCCCGCAGTTTTCAATTCACCAATCCAATACTACAATTGTAAAATAAGTTCTGACAACTCATTTGAATGAATGCAGAATAGTTTTGGTGATATGATGAAGCATACCAGCAGAACAGCAAGAGCAGAACAGCAAAAAAAAGTCTCCTCCTAGGGGAACACTTGGGGAGCAAGGAGAGGAGACACTCGAAATGTATACTAGTAACCAAAAATCTATGTAAAGATCAGCAATTAGAGAATTGAATAAAGAAAATACTTATATAAGCTTTAAATTCTCAATGCAAAGTCGAAAATTTTCAGATCTGGACACCTGAAAATTCGTCTCTTTGACTTTGGCCGCCCTGGCCGCTCGAGCCTGTTGTGCTCGCCTAGCTTGAACGCCTCGGAGGTAGAAATTTTCCATTCAGAAGCAAAAAAAAACAATCAAAATGAATTAATCGACATCACGGAATCAAATCGTCGATTCGACGATTCAAATCGACAAACAAGTAGTTTCAGTCGGTGTTGTGGGTGGAAGTCGAGTGGTCGGTCAGTGAGAGAAAGGGGCACGAGTTGGCTTCATCCACACACCCACACTCACACAAAACAAAATTTCCCCGCGGCTTCTTTCCCCGACTTCCCAAATTGGCACACAGCTGAACCCCGTGGCGTGGAAAAGTTTGGAAAAGTAGAGAATTGACTGGTAGCTCTTCATCACTCTCGCAACTTTTGTTCATCAAAGAACAAACAATTTGCAGTAGAAATGGGGTGTACTTTGTAGACTTGTAGTGAAAACATCTGTCAGTCCTTTTTCCCGTCAGCAATCTAAGGTTTTTCGTTTTTTTCTTAGCACCAACCCTTCTATTTTGATTATTTTGACTATCATTCGATGGAGAATAAAATTGCGCGTTGAATGATACCAAAACCGACGCAAAATATGATATCCGTGCAAAGTTATAAGGCAAAAAGTTAAGTCCATAATGGGCAGGACTTAACCTTTTGCCGTTGGCAATTTAGGGTTTCTCTCAGCAATAGCCCTTGACTATATTGACTATCATTCGATGCAGAATTAAATTGCGCGTTGAATGATACCAAAAACAACTCAAAATATAATATTCATGCATAGTTATTGGCTAAAAACCTAAACCTCGCCTATTATGGGCGGGACTTAACCTTTTGCCTCATAACTTTGCATGGATATCATATTTTGAGTTGGTTTTGGTATCACTCAACGCGCAATTTTATTCTGCATCAAATAATAGTCAAAATAAACAAAATGAAAGGGTTGACGCTGAGAAAAAGACGAAAAACCTTAAGTTGCAAACGGGAAAAGGACTGACAGATGTTTTCGTTACAAGTCTAGTACTTTGTAGTTAAAAATACGGAAAAAAACAATTTCTGACGTAAGAAATCGTTATTTTTCTTGTTATCGTTAGTATTTTTATCAAAAAGAATAGAAATGAAGTCAGCCAGAGAGTGTGCGTTTCTAGAAAGCTCACGACGATGATAATCCTCAAAAATTTGGCTAGTTTTTGAGGCAAAAGGGATTTCTAAGAGATCAATTTTTGAAGCTAGATATGTCGAAGGAGAAAGAGCAACGTTTAAACAAAAACTGATATTTCAAACCGGACAACAAGGAGTTACCGAGTTTTTTTTTTTCTGTTTTTCCTGCATCCTGCCGCATAGCATTTTTTGTACTGCTCGGCTAGGGTTGTCAAAGTCATTAAAAAGTGTTAAGGTTCTTCTATTCTATGTAAAATTATTTAAGATTTTATGATTAATTCTTGTTTTTCAGCTTAAGTTGATGTATTATCTTAAAAAGCCAAAAAAAAATGCATTAAGAGTAACACTATGTACAGTGGTAGAAAAAACATTGCTTTTCCTTGCAAAAACATTGCAAAAGTCGACACATTTAACAGCGTCGCCATTTGAATTTAGTTTTTTAAATTTGATTGTAGATTAGTGTTCTTAAAAATAAAAAGCAAAGTGTTTTCAATGGCGAAAACTATAAAACATAAATGATTGCCTAAATTGTGCCCGAATAAACTAACTTTAAAGCACTCTTGTAACCGGTTTTTAACTCAACGAAAGTAATAATCTAGTCCCTTGCAATCTCGTTTATATTGTAGGCCAAAAGTACTCAAAAATCCCCTAACTTTCGTCATTGAGTTAAACGAGTTTAAGAACTGTTACGATTCGTTATCGTAACAAGATTTTTAGCTAACAAGTAGCTAAATTCTTAGCTAAGCTAAGACTTAGCCAACTTTAGCTTTTAAACCAATTTTTAACCTTTTAAATCAATCAACACTTATCCAAAAAGTCCCCTTCTTTTCAAAACTCACAGAGTTAAACGCGGAAACGTTTGCCGAGCTGAAAATCGCCATGAAAATGCGGCCGATTTATTGGCCGTGGCCAAAGAAATAAATTCAGCCTTAAGTGTCGCTGCGAATTGGAAGAAATCTCTCAGAAAAATCTCTTCAAGGGAAATGTTCTGGTTGTGTGTGGTGTCTGAAGCAATTGGATAAAAGACATTGACCATTTGAAAGGCAAAAAAAGAAGAAGAAGAAGAAGAAAGGGAAAAGGAAGAAAGGGAAAAGATCTTGGAGACGAACAGAGATTGCGAATGGAAACGAACACAAAGCCATACGTTTTCTTTCCGGAGGAAACGGTGAATGATGCTTTGAACTTTGAGCAGTTTAAAGTAGATTTAGAAGTGCTGGATCTTGTTAGTCAAAGTCAAAGTCAAAGATCGAATACAAGTTGTCATTGTTGTTTTTGGAGTTGTTTAGATTGATTTATGTTGTTATTTGATAGCGGATTGTGAGTTAAACAAGTTCCTTAAAGTCCATTGGTTTGTTAAAAGGGATTCCATTGGTAGAATGAATAAAGTGAATAGCTCCAATTGATTACCAAAAAGTTTTGAATCGACCGGAATCAATGGTAATCTGAGGGAGCCAAATCGGGAGCATACGGCGGATGTGGTAAAACCTCCCATCCTAGATTCTCCAGTTTTTGCTGAGTCATCTTTGCAACGTGAGGTCTAGCGTTGTAATGGATGAATTTTATCTTTGATGTGTCTACTCCTTGACGAATGAGAACTTCGTTGACCCGATCAAGTTGCTGTTTGTAGAGGTCGGATGTGACTGTTTGGCCGGTTTGCAAAAGCTCGAAATACACAAGGACCTTGTTATTCCACCATACTGAGAGCATGACCTTTTTCCCATGAATGTCCGGTTTCACGGTCGGATTTCGCCGTTCTCCTGGTCCCAAATATGCGCGAGATAACGTACTTTTAAATACAGAAAGATATGTTTTAAAAGCTTCTCTCATAACAAAAAGTTTAGCAACGCTTGTTTATATCCGAACAACCTAATGAACACAGAAGGAAAAGTGAACACAGATTTTCTCTAGACAAATTTCTCTGGACTCTTCGAAGCATGAGTACTCTACTGAGTACGTGAGTACTGAGTATTCAAAAGCTCCATTTAACTTTTAAAGTCCTCTTTAGCGGATCAGAGCCTTAATTACACCAATTTCCAATGCGCTCTCATAAAATCTTTTCAAAAACTCACCGCTCGAAATCGATATTGCGATGATTTCACGCGTTGCACCGTTTGATGTGCCCGCATCGTTTAGAGAAAGAAAAACGGGGGAAATCGACGAGGAAAGCGACGAGGAAGACGGCAAAAAAGTGAATGGGTAATTGGTCTCGAATCTTGTCACACCGAAAGCCAGAATTGGTGTGATCAACGCGTGTGTTGCAGTGAAAAGGATTTGGGTGGGGAGGGTAATGGAATCCAATTTCGAGACGATCAAAACGGGAAGAGGAAAAAGAAGAATGCCTCTCACTCGTACCCACAAATAAACTCCGGAATATTTAGTGAATTTGTAGGAAGCGTGTAGTTGGGAGGAGGGGGGCGGGGAAGTAAGAACCCTTCTAGGGCCACCTAGAAGGAAATAATAAAGGAAAAAAACTCAGCTAGGGTGTAGAAAACGAATAATTTCACCGAATTTCACCGAATTCATTAATTTCTTTAGTCATTCTAGTTTGTTGGATCGCTTTTAGAGCTCAATTTCTCAATTTACACTAAGTCCGCTTGCAAAACCTTGCGCTAAACCTTGCACTTGCAAAGCATTTGCACTAAGCCCGCTTGCAATGTAAATTTTTGTTTCTGATTTACCGGCCATCACATATTCAATGAAAAGTTGACTTTATACTTAAAATTTACTAAAAATAAATTGAAATTTGACTTAAAAAGCGTTTTAGATATTTCCGGGTAAAAAGTCAAAAGTTCTTTATCAATTTTCATAGCTGTAAGAACGATGGAAAGTTGAATAAGTGAACTTCGAAGACTTCTGTTCTTTTTCAGAGATCCGTAGTTGCTCTCCACTTAATAGCGCGTCAATAGCTGCTAATAGCGCGTCAATAGCTGCTAATAGCGCGTCAATAGCTGCTAATAGCGCGCCAATAGCTGCTTATAGCTCCTTATAGCTGCTAATAGCGCGCTCTAGCTACTGTACCCCGTCGTCGCGCCAACAAACTATATAAAGAGTATATAAAGGAGGTTTTCCAGTTCACTTTTCACTGAAACAATCAAAAAATTAAACATAAATTTGATTCTTTTATGTTTTCAAAGTATTTATCTTACTTCTTACTTGAGTTACTGATAAGAAAGTTGGGTTTTTCTCAGAAATACGGGTCTTTTGAAAAAATCTGGGTTTTTCTTCGCAATTATAGTCTCCAACAGTGCTCGGTTGCTTCTTATCTATCCGTACTTCAAGTAAGAAGTAAGATAAATACTTTTAAAACATAAAACACTTTCAATTCCAATTCAATTCCAAACATAAACGACGCTCAACTACAACCAAATTCTGAGGTGAAGAGCTCAAAAAAACGACGGGGATTTTCTCTCGTTTGATGAATGATGCTTTGGAGTGAGCAAGAGAGAGAGCGCACAAAATATGGACTTTACGAGTGAGAAATGGCTTTGTCCAAGAGTTGTCACTTTCAGGTTTAAAGCTTTAAGTGAAATCGAATCCCGAAAAAGGTGTTCGCTTTTGTTTACCCGCTTTTAAAGGTTTTTGAAACGCTGGAGAGTGTCGGTTTGTTTTTGGAGTTGGGTTTAGTAGGTTGAATCTAGTTTTCGGCAAAATTTATGATATCATGGCTGATAAATAATGGTTGTTAAATAGCCTTGTCAAAGAAACCACGTGCAGAGATGCTCCAGCCGGGCTCTGACACCTGTAAGCCAGCAAGTTGAAGCCAAAGACTCAGATTTTCCTGCAATCCTTGGTTTCGACCTGGCTTTAGGCAAGGACTTGAGTAAAATCTGGTCTTGCTTCTGGTCTTGCTTCTGGTCTAGCTTCTGGTCTTGCTTCTGCTCATGCTTCTGGTCTAGCTTCTGGTCTAGCTTCTGGTCTTGCTTCTGCTCATGCTTCTGGTCTTGCTTCTGGTCTTGCTTCTATCTTGTTTTGGTCTGCTGCTTGTGTTGCTTCCGGGCTAGCTTCTGGTCCAGCTTCTGGTCTTGCTTCTGGTCTTGCTTCTGGTCTAGCTTCTGGTCTAGCTTCTGGTCTTGCTTCTGGTCTTGCTTCTGGTCTAGCTTCTGGTCTTGCTTCTGGTCTTGCTTCTGGTCTAGCTTCTGGTCTAGCTTCTGGTCTTGCTTCTGCCTTGCCTTGCCTCGCTTTCTTTCTAATCTAGCTTTGGTCTAGCTTCTGGTCTAGCTTCTGGTCATGCTTCTGGTCTTGCTTCTGGTCTTGCTTCTGGTCTAGCTTCTGGTCTAGCTTCTGGTCTTGCTTCTGCTCATGCTTCTGGTCTTGCTTCTCTTCTTGGTTCTAGATCTTGCTTCTGTCTTGCTTCTGCTCATGCTTCTGGTCTTGCTTCTGGTCTTGCTTCTGGTCTTGCTTCTGTCATGCGTCTTGGTTCCTAGCTGGAATCTAGCTTCTGGTCTTGCTTCTGGTCTTGCTTCTGGTCTAGCTTCTGGTCTTCTGGCTCTTGGTCTGCTGCTTCTGGTCTTTTGCTTCTGGTCTTCTGGTCCTCTGGTCCTGGTCTTGCCCTTTTGCTCTTGCTGGCTTGCTTCTGGTCTTGCTTCTGATCTTGCTTCTGGTCTGCTTCTGGTTCTGGTCTGGTCTAGCTTCTGGTCTAGCTTCTGGTCTTGCTTCTGGTCTTGCTTCTGGTCTAGCTTCTGGTCTTGCTTCTGCTCATGCTTCTGGTCTTGCTTCTGGTCTTGCTTCTGGTCGTGCTTCTGGTCTTGCTAGCAAAGCAAGACCAGAATCCAGAGAAGTCTTTGGTCCAGAGATCCTAGTCTTTGGTCCGGAGTTGAAGCCTTGTTTAGCAAGCCAGATCTAGGCCCCAGCAAGGAGTGGAGTAAAGCCGAGACCAAGCTAAGTTAGGCAAAGCAAGACCAGAAGCCATCCCAGCTCCTGACTTTTGTCCTGACCCTGACCAGGGAAAGGGAAAGGTTTTTGGAACTATGGTTATGTTAGAAAACAGTACATAACTTTAATCTTGTACTTTTTGGGTTTAAAAATTTTTTTTACATAAAACAGCTAATTTCAAACTGAAAGCACTAAGATTTGTTAAGATTTAAAAAATTTAAAAAATTTCTCACCACCCAAGAAGAAATAAACGCACTTCCTTGTAATAAACCACCCATTTTTATCAAAATTTAGTATAAAATAATCAATGAAATAGAAATAGAAATAGAAATAGGTTGGAATGAAGAATGGAAGCTTTTTTTGAAAGTTGAAAGACAAAAAGTTAAAGGAAAAAGTTCACTGATGAGCTGTTGTGGGGGATAAGTGGCTGACGATGGTCGTTGAAGAGAAAAACAAAAGAAAACTGCAAATTTGTCTTGACTAACTCGTTAGTGATGCAAATATTAGACTAAAATTGAAAGATGCAAACGAAAGAGAGCCAGCAAAATACAGAAAATCTTAAGGTTTAGCAAATCACAGTTAATGCAAGTGTTGAAGAGTTTTTTAGCTCCAAACAAGTTGATACTTGGGTTTATCATAGCCAAACTATAATATAGTACTGTAATCGTACCGCATCCCCATAATGACGGTGCGGAGTGTTGCGTAGTCTAGCTTTGAACGAGTCTTTCTCGGCACTGGTTTATGCTACAATGCGCGCAAAGGTATCAAAAAATAGCTGAAATTCGGGGCTATTTTTTGATACTCAAAGGCGCTTGAAAAGTACGGGCGCTTTGAAAGTACGGACGCTTTGAAAGTACGGACGCTTTGAAAGTACGGACGCTTTGAATTAAAAAATTAGACCGCTTTTAAATAACGACCTTTTAAAATACGGACACTTTGAAAGCGCGGACGCTTTGAAAGTACGGACGCTTTGAAAAAAATGCACTACCTAAAACCTAAAAACTTTTGCGACTACGCAACTGTCGAAACACGCTAAAAAAGGTTTTAGTTTGTAAACTTTACTTTCAAACAAAGGATTATTGTTTTTGGCACTTAGCTTAGCTTTTCTCGAAATTGGTTTTTGCATTTGCACTAATATGGCTCAACTTGCACTAATATACTATTGTAAGTCCTGTAATAGTACCTTATTCCTAAATGATGATGCGGAGTGTCGCGTAGTCTAGCTTTGAACGTGTTTTTCTCGACACTGGTTTATGCTACAATGCGCGCAAAGGTATCAAAAAATAGCTGAAATTCGGGGCTATTTTCTGATACCAAAAACGAATCTTTTGAAAGCACGGATGCTTTGAAAAAATAAAATATGAAATAAATATGAAAATCATTCTGTGAAACTGTGAGATTCGATGGATATTGGTCGAAATAAAAATCTTACGTCAAAATCCGGGAGTAGAGCAAGAATCGCTTGAACGATGATGATCATTTTGCAATCTTTTCACAAGTTTCCTTCTCTTCAAGTCATTCTGAAAGCAATTTTCTTAAGATAAAATTACAATTGGGTTTCAAGGAAAATTGAGCGATTGTTAAATTGGGCAAAATTGGAAATTGGGCAGAACGTTGGATCGATCAACAGAAAGAAAAGCACTTTAAGTTTCTTTGGAAAATATTAAAAGCAACTTTGAACAGGAAATGATTAGGAAAATGATTTTTGATTATGGAATATAATGGTTAGAAATATGAATTTTGATCAAAAGAACTGGAAAATTGCCAACAATGGGAATTCAAAAGCGACATTACTTTTTCCTCAACCTAAGATTGGGTTGGTGAATTGAAAACTGCGGGCTATTTTCATATGTGACAGTTTGAGCACTTTCTTGAAAAGAAACCCATTTTGGTGTCAATGGAAAAGTTGTAGAGAATCAAAAATCAAGCTTATATCCAAATTTTCAGAACGATTCAAAAGCTGGGTTTCAAGAAATGCCAAATTTACGAATTTTCACAAAACTTGCAACAAAACTTGCATTTTAAGCCAAACTACTAAGTGTATCTTTTTAGAAATTTGGCTATAAGCCTCATTTTTGATTCTCTACAACTTTTCTATTGACACCAAAATGGGTTTCTTTTGAAGAAAGTGCTCAAACTGGGATCTCCAGTCTCCATCTCCAGTCCTCGATTTTTGAGTCTCACACTTGTCTCACACACAAACCAAAATCCTACTACGAAAGAGGAATCCGCAAATTGCCTGCAAAATGGGCAG